CTTATTAAAAGAATATATAACAATAAATGATATATATATATGTAAAACAAGGATTACAAAGTTTAGACCTCGTTGAGTCTCAGAAATTTTGGTGTCCAAAAAAAGAATTCACTTAGGTTTCAAATGTGAAGTTGTATTAACATGAAAAATATATCAGTCACTAGAATAGAATGTCCCAAAACTTCTGTAATTTATGTGGCTTTCTAATTATGCTATAAATAAGTTTAAAATATTCTTTTAGTTTAGTCTTCAGAATACCAAAATATGATTACTATGTACCAAGTAACTCTGCTGACTAAAGGTCTATGGCATGGAAATTAAACATTGACTTCTAAGATTTACGAACAGGAGAATCTGCTCTTTCTGTTGGTTATAAACATCTCCTTCAGTCATGTAAAGTTGATTAGAAAACAATCTCAAAGGTCAGAAAGAGGAGGGACTTCTCTGGTTGGTGTGACAAATTTATTTATATCTCAGTAAATCATTAAGGTAGGAGGCTGAAATATTTAATTCTTGCGTGCAATTATGCACATTTTGTGTTTCTGATTGGAAACTGCAGCAGCCTCTTTTTAATGTTACAAAATTCTGAAGTAGATAATCAGAGCTCAGACACATCACAAGATATAGAAAAATCGTGATTGGGAATGTTTTAAATATTTCTTTTTGAAATTCAGACTGATTTAACATGCACACACTAAAATAGCTGCCCCTCACAGAGATTTTGTAGCTAGTCAAGCTTACCAGCAGCTTCTTTCTCTGCTGGACAACTAGATTTAGAGACAGTATCCAACTGGTATTAATCTGTTAATGTAAATGCTGAAGTACTTCTCGAAGTTTCAAAAAACCTAAAACTTCTTTTAGTTGGTAAGTTGTTTTGATCATAAATACAATGGAGAGTAAATAGTATCATCTCAAGTTTTCCTATGTATATTTTTAAAGTATATTTTCACACAAAGCTAATGGGCATGAATGTCAGTACTACTACAATGTGATGTTTTGTTACAGTACAAAAGGTATTGTGTGAACAAATCTACACTTGTATTCAATTATATGTAGAGCTAAGTGGGTAGTGGAATTTGCTAATCAATTAATTGTTGCTCTTCTTCATTACATTCAATTATTCTCACATGACACTTGGATAGCTGAATAATTAGAAATAATAATTTTGATTAGTTGATTACTTTCCTGAGTTGCGACATTAATTGATCAATCTAAACAACTTTGAATGAATTGAAAATAATGAGAAATCATAATGGCAATGATTGAAAACTAATTTTGATACTTGATTATTTTTGTGACAATTGATTTAATCATTATTTTGATCAATTAATTAATTTGTGACACTGATCGGTATAATCAATGTTTCTAACTAATTGACTTAATTGCCAGCTCTAATTATATGATGGTAAGAAATATTTCTTTAACACAAGAGTTATGTGTTTTTGTTACGTATACATACAAGAATTTTTTTCACAGAATTGGCAGTGTTGTGATTTATGGAGCTCATTACTGTATTCATAGATTTGGAAAGGCTTTACAGTAAATGAGACATTCCATTAGCCTGTGGAGAAAAGTAATACTTTTGATTACTTTTAGCATAAGCTTCACATAGAAATTACTCTTAGATATGTATAGGTCATCCACAGAAACATTTAATATACATGTAAACTTTTGCAGTAGTTTAAAAGATAGCATCTTC